GTGTGTGTGTGTGTGTGTGTGTGTGTGTGTGTGTGTGTGTGTGTGTGTGTGTGTGTGTGTGTGTGTGTGTGTGTGTGTTTTCAAGGTGGTGCTCTCTGATTGGTTGCAATTTATTTGGGATTATTCCTGGCTTTTTTTACGACATATAGCTTTATTTTTTTGGCAAACTATATTGTTAATAGTGACAACATAGTATATAATCACTTTTGTATGACAATTTTAGTTTCATAACATAATATAATTGTATAACCTACTACAGTATAGCATTTGTTTATAAGTGCTTTTTATAATTTGTTATGGCATACTATATTACGACTTTTTACATGACATACAATAACATGACATTGGTATTTTATATGACATAATGTTAAGACTTTTTATGACATCATTTTGACTTTCTTATGGTATTTTATATCTAGACATGTTTTATAGCTTTTATATAATGATTATTTTATGAAATACTGTACATATCTATTTGGCATACTATCTAATTACTTTTTTATTGACCTACAATACTAGTGTTGGAGCGCGAGCCAATAGAAGGGCAAGTAGTGATGTCACTATGTTCAGGAAGTAAACACGTTTCAGGCTAGCGTGTAGACTTCCTGCATTTTCTTAAATAACCTGCATTTTCTTTATTTTTTCAACTGGAGCCTCGCTGCTCACGTGGTAAACCGTCATTGTTTCAGTTTCTGCAAGTTTAAAAAAAAAATTGCTGTGTAAACAAAAATGGAGCGCTGACCAATAGGAGCGTGAGTACTGTTACAGAGTGATGTACTGGATCGAGGTTTTAGCATAAATGGACTAGGGAGGCTACGACTTGATTTCAGTCACACAGCAGCGTTAGTGAGGCAGAGTTTGCAAATATTTCACTGTGAATAGACGGCCAGATTGACGAGTGTCATCTTAACTAAAACGTGGCCTGAGGCAGAATTAGAGAATTTGTTAAAATGTGTTTCCTGAGGGGATCAGAGGAGGAAGGGTTTATCCCAGGGGTGTCCAAACTTTTTTCACCGAGGGCCACATACAGAGAAATATACGAAGGGCTGGGCCACTCGATAGAGGTATATCGCCTCATAAGTTCAGTTATAAGTTAGCAAAATCAATCAAATGTAGGTAAATGATGTTTGTGAGTGTTGGCAGCTCATCCCTTAAAGCAGAAGCCTCAGATTGATTATAATAAGGAAAATAGGAC